GACCACCATAATAACAAAACAATAACTTTATAAAAAATTAAGTACAATATTCTCATTTTGGGGCATAAATGGTGAGTATATTAAAACACATAGATCAGAAAAAATACACTTTCAGCTTCAAAGATTTAGAAGCAGAAGGTTCAATGGTCTCAAACTTTTCCCCCCTCTACCTCTTTCTTTTCTATTTATTCTCCCAGAACTGAAGACAATAAAAGTTCCTCTAACTAGTACCCACAGAACTACATGCATAAAAACAGAATGCAGGACAAATAAGAGCAGATTTGCTGAATAAAACCTGCCTCTACCATGTCAATTTCAAGTGTTTACTTCAGATCCACTTTAATTCTGTCCTAGGGACGCCACAATTCTTGGAACACATTTTATGGGCTCCCAGGGCCTACCTTCCTGCCCAGTTGAACCCAAAAGGAATCCAGCTTGCATGCTCTGGGACAGCTACGCAACACAAATCACAGGTGGTGATCGGAGGAGTCAGTTCATAAATGCATTTTTAATCCAAACTAAAATTTTTATTAACACATTGCAGTGCATTGCATCAAACTAACTGATTCCAGTTGTTTTCTCATGACCTGTTCTAGTGCAGCAGCATATAAGTCCTGCATACTTTTTAACCAAAACTTCCAATTTCAATTACCGTCCTGAATATTCAGTGTTCTCGATTCTCCACACACTTCTCCATTTGCCTCCACTGACCAAGAAGACACAAAATACAAACCAAACTTTATATCCATTTTGAATAGTGTAAAGTACCAGAGACAACAGGTTTAAGCTCAATTTTCTAAAACCTTACAATTTGAAGGAATAAAATGATTTAGTAGCTACGAGTTTAAACCCACTGAGAAGCACTGTGTAGTGTCCAGTTCCAGATTCTAACCCCAGGGATAAAACTCTGTTATTACATTATCTCATCTGTAGCAACCAAGTGTTCTCTTGGACCACATAAGGAAAAAAAAAATATCAGTTGGTTTAATTAATGAAGGAAGCCAAAATCCAGGTTAAGTACAATTCTCTTCAGAAAAATAGCAAAACCACTGAACATTAACAACACCTACTTTTGGCTAAAATATAGCAATTCTCATGATGCTACATTTCATTCATCGGCAGCAACTACACTAGTATCTCTGAGTTCCAAAGACACTGACATAATGTCCTGGGCAAGAGAAAACCATGTTTTGTTTTGTTTCCTTAGTACCAGAAGATTATATTAGGTAAGTAATGTTTCAGCTTTTGATAGGTGTTCATTTTAGTACAGATTATGGAATTAAACAAACATCCCTTGAAAGAACTGCATTAGAAGACTAGAGGGAGCTGGTGCAGGGACCTCATTTTTAGAAAGGTACTTGCATGGAAAGTGCATGACCTGACCTTCAGCAAACGCCCATGAAGGAGAATGGTACAATGGTTTTAAAGAAGAGAGGCAGACAAAAACTTATTCTCAAAGCCTCTGTGGCTGGTCTCACAGATGCTCAGGTTTTGCAAGCCTGATTTCATATATGCTTATCAAGATGCTGTTTAAGTATAGTAACTACCAAGTCCAGAATAGTTTTATGTTTTAGCTCAGCAATTAACAGTGTCATATTTTAATTCAACTCAAGGACCAGGTGTAAATACAGTATTTCACACATGTTCAGCTATAAACACTGTCTCATATTTATGGGTTGTTACTTTCTCATATATCTAGGTTGTTTTCAACTGTATCCTGTTTTACATTAAAATTAACCGGGTTTTACAGATTTTCATTTACAAGAAAAATTATTCATGTTGCTGAACCTAAACAGCTCATTGTATTGTGATTGTTGACTTAAGACAAGCACAATTAGTTTCTGATTATCATTTTCCTTGATAAGAGGCCAAAGTCAGTAAGCCAGGCAGCTTCAACTACACTGTGGGTTTTTTTCCAAGTATCTTCTTGTAGCTGTACAGCAAAGTCTGATCAAGATAGAGAACTTCATGGATTATGTATGCACAGACACTTTATCACCCAAACTGCATAGTCATTGATTACTGTTCTGTCAGCTGATAGGGGTTTGAGCTAATGGGAGGCTGGGAGGGGAGGAGGTTTAGTGTAACTACTTGGTAATGCAGGAAAAACACTATAACATACACGTTGCTTCTTCACCATGAGTATTTGCTTTGCTTACCCAAAATTACTGTCTTAACCATTTTGTTAGACAGTAACTACATATGATCAGAACTTTACTCTTGTAGCTTTCCAATGAAGCCTTTAGGTAAATAAATATTACCAAACACTTGAAACTAACATTTTTAAGCAAGGTAGTGCATACATGGCTAGTGTGATTTCAAATTACTCTATTGACCCAAAAACTTTGAAAAGGTTAATAACATAGGCCTTTTCATCACACTTCGAAAGACCTAAAAATATGTTGGTTTTCATTTTCTATTAACACGCAGCGGTTTTCCTTCAGTTCTGTTTCTGCTTGAAATTCAGAAGAAAAAACAATATCCATTCACTCCCAATATGATAACACCATGAACTCCTGACAGAAACAAGTTGGCATTTAATGAAAGAGGATAAAGGAGCAAGAAAGCTATCAAGTGTTGTACCATCAAAAACATTAAGCATTTACGTTCTCCTCATCTTACTGTTCTCACACCAATTTTTCACATTATAAAAATAAGAAATGTAACAGCATAGCCACCAGACATGGTAAGAAGGTGCAGCGGAAGGTTTAAGGCCCACAGCCCTTCTTACTTTCTTCGGGGCTGGATTTCAAGATGCGTTGGATCAATTTCCAAACAAGATTACACCGTAAAGCTGCTAGTGATACCAGGACATCGCATGAAGTACTGCGCTCTCCTGATCCGCTTAAAACTGAAAGCCAAATCCAATAGCTGTAAAACTTGTCAGACCAATTTGCAGAGAGCAATGCTGGACTACCGACTGCTTCCACATTTTATGCCCAGTAATAAAACATCTGCAGTGCTGGAGCTTTGCTGTGCTCTTGGCTCTGAATGGTAGTTCCTATGCGTTTGATATCTTACTTAGCTCAATAAACCCCGTAAAGGAGAAACACAACAAAATTCAAGCTACTCACACTTAAGCCGTTCCCTTTTCTATTTAAGGCTATTCACACCCTAAACTCCATTCAGCTTTCTGCTCTTACAACACCAAAGCAACCGGCAGATAAAGCACGCTTCTTGTAAAGCCAGGGTACTCAGGGTGAGGTGGCCGCTGCGATATCATCTGCCAAATTTCCTCAAACCCCGCAAGCGGTCTGGAGCCGCTAAGCCCCCGACAAGAAACCCGCCCAGTCTCGGGGGGCGCGGGGGGCCCCCAGGCTGACCGCGAGGGCCGCTGCCCCCGAGCCGGGCATTACCTCGCCGTCCCGGTCACCCGCGG